CTCTCTTCGGGAGGAGGGGAGCGCCGGGCACTTCGGTGCCGCGATGATGCCCGGATTGGCGGCATTTCGGGGATGCTGCCACTGGGCGGAGCACTGGCGGTAGCTCGCACCCGTTAGCCCGAGGGTGCGACCGGCTGTGGGCTGCGAGAGCAGCTCCCAGACTGCCATTGTCGCTTATGTCGTGAGTTGGTAGGAAGAGAAGAGTAGGCCGTCATCGTGTATGGATAGGAGACATGATAAATAAGAGTTGATTATAAATTTGTGTAGTTGTCGGAGAAAGGGATCGCCAGGGCAAGGGGCCCGACAGAGCGCTGTAGGTTCTAGGTATTTGGTTCGTTGGTCTCATAGCTGTTTGCTGGTTGGTTAACATGGGTCGTGCGCTCAGGGCCAGGTCAGTAGGTTCCCCCGGGGTAGCGGCCTCCCTACCGTGGGGGAACACGGTATGGCCCCGCGGAAGGCTCGTCGGACTGCGGGAGTTCCAGTAAGGATCGCAGGAGGTCTATTCACCGGTGCAGTCGCGCTCGTACGGCGGCTCAGAGGGCAGCTGAGGGACTATCCCACCTAGTCCCGCCAACCGTCCCGCGACACTGATCATGGAATGGACTTTTTTAAGCACCACTGGCTACGGGCCTCTCCTCACGCCCCAATTGTTACCAGCGTTTCATCCATTAATGTCAAAACTGCGTTCTTACAACCGATCTTCAGAGACGCGATCCAAGGATACTGATTCTTTTCGAATCTCCTGCCACCAAAAGACTTGACGGCGGGAAGATTTTCTGGAAAACGTGATTAAGATGTTTGCTGAGAGTAGGGCTCGCTATAACTATTTACACTATAACTATTTACAAAGTTTAAGTGAGTGTCTCGATTAAATTTGCTAAGGCTGTATTCATATTTTGCGGCAGCGTCCACCAGCGTTTCGAGCATCAGCGTCAACGACTAGGAAAGTATAGATATCGATTTAGCGAAGGGCAGCACCTACCAGTGTTCCAGCGTCCATCAGCGACGAGGAGTACGGTATCGTGTAAGTGGCGATGCGATTG